AGGGAGTCTGGACTCCCTCCCCGGATGAATCTCGATGGGTCAAAACTCCTCAAGGCAGCAGTGTCCTCTGGCCGGTGAGCGGTAAGGGAGGGCTGGGGGTGCTTCCTGCTCACCCCTTCACCCTCGAAGAGAGACCCGTAGGAGAAAGCCGGCCGTCTCCTCCCCACGGGATGGTGCGCCATGAGCATCTGATCCCGCAGCCATCTTGAAGCCATGAGGATGGCCAAGCCGAGAGGTCACGCTGACGCCAAGAACAGTGGAGGGAACAGAGGGACAGAAGCGAGTGCCCGAGAGACTGTGGAGCCAACATGGAGCTACTCTGTCACTGGGCTTCTCTTATGTGAGATAATAAATGGCCAGGTGGTAAAATCTGTACTTCTTGGGATCTCTGTGCCTTAAAAGTGACAGCATCTCCACGGCCTTGAAAGCTGAGTAGCCAGACTGCGGCTGATGGCAGGCTGCTATGGGAGCCTGGCTGAGCAGGACTTCCAAGCCCTTCGGGGACCGAGGCCTGGCCTGACCATTGCCCAGGTCGCAAGGCCTCTGGCTCCATGGAGCTGCCTGTGTCTAACTCATTTGGATCCCACACCATTAGGGGCATGGGTGAGTGTATCGAGTCTCGTCTTCCCAGAGCCCCCTGAGCCTCCCCTTCCAAGGGTGAGGCGCTACCAGCTGGTGTTTCCTCTGGCCTCACAGACCCGGCAGGGAGGCACCAAAGAGTGGGGGGTGGGGGTGGGGTGATTCCAAGACCGAGGCTCCGTAAGGAAACTGAGGGCCACCCGCTTGGAAGGCAGGGCTGCTAGGAAACCAGCAGTAAGGCCTCTGCCACAGCGCTTTCACAGGCCTCCGTGTGCCAAGAAGGCTAGAATGTGCACCAAGGAAATGCCTCAGTTTCCTCATCTGCAAAATGGTAATAAATGCCATGAACATCACAGGCCTTCTGCAAAGCTTACATGATTATGACATGTCGGGGACATCGGTCTCTCGCCTTGCAGAGCCCACCCCCATTCTTGGCAGCCATGAGCCCAGGTGACACATCATACGGATCCCTGGGATGCTGTACTTGTCTCTCCTTAGACGGTCACCATGCCCAGAGCTGGGAGAAAGGCCTTTGTCCCTGCCATCTGTTCTTAAAGGCTAACCACGGGGAATTCAGGGGAGGATGGGGACCCGGGCTCACCCTCGACTGGGCACCGGGGGACCAAACACGGAGAATGGGGCAAGGACAGGTGTCCCCAAGTGGCTGCACAGAGGAGCCAGGAGCAGAGAAGTGGCTGTAAGGGGCCTTGAGGGTTCAGCAGGAGCGCGGAGACTAGATTTAAGAGTCGGTTATAAATAGCAGCAGAAAAGTGTCCTTGCCCACATCAGCCCGGGCCCTGCACCAGCTCCGTGGGGAACTAACTGTATTTGTCTCCATTTTTCAGATGGAGAATAGGAGGCCCCAGGGCTCACACACGTACCTACTAAGCGACCCACCTGGGCCTCCAACCCCAGTCCCCAGACTCATCTGGATTAAGGTCCCAGCTCTGCCACTAACTCATGAAGGGATCGCAGGAGAGTCTTTCATCCTCTATGGGCCTTGGTTTCCCCACATTGTTGATGGCGGGACGGCCTTCCCCGTCCTAAAGCCCCAGACCCCAGAACTGCATGGTGGGCCAGCACCAGTTCTCCCTCCACTTTGGGACAAGCCATTCCTCCAGGAAGCCCTCCAGCCATGCTTTGGCTCCTACTGTCCTGCCCTGGGCAAAGAGTGGCTGGACCCCCTGCCCCTGGGAGTTACCCCAGCTCTGAGCGCTCAGCTTTCTGGAAGAATGGCCCCATTCTTCTCACTCATCTCTGTCCCCAGCGATGTCCCCAGGCCACTTCCTCTCCCTGCCCCTGGAGACAATACCCCAGGCCCAAGCTCGACCCCTGTTCCCCACCCAGCCCTCCCCCCTATCCACAGCCCAGCACACACACACACACACACACACACACACACACACTCGCTCTCCTGAGCCTTTCGGCATCAGGCATCTGCTGCCCTTCTGGAATCTGTGTCAGGCAGTGCAGGGGCGGGCAGGCCTCCAGCCTCAGAGGCCCAGGGCCCCTGCATGCCCTCTGGCCCCCCAGGGTCTGCCCCAGGTTGCTTGGGAAACCATTTGAGGTCATTTGAGACGATTAGGAGTCTTAACTCCGTTCTGAGCTCACCAACACCAAGAAACAAACCCCTGTCTGTCAAAGTCTAGCCAAAAGAGCCCCCCCAGGGGCCTGGGAGTGGAGGCCCCCCTCTCAGGGGCCGGCTCCTCTCCACCGCCTTTTCATGCAGCTCCACAAACATTCATGAGGGGATTTCCTACTGGGCCAGCATCCGCGTCTGGGAGGTTGAGGGAATGGGTGGATGTGTGGAAGGGAGAGGAACCCAAGAGGGAACGGACTTAGCGTCTGCCCTCCCGAAGCAAAGGCGTTGGACATCTGTGCTACGTGGCCTTCCGGAGAGTGGCCAATGGTGCCCTCCATTTCTACGTGGTCCTAAGATGGACAGGAAGGACCCAAAGTGCTGGCCATCACTTTCTCATGGGAGCCAGACATTCTCATTGTCCTGCCCTGGGTGTTCTAATTTAGTGCCCTGAGCAATTATGACTTTTAAAATTGGAGGACAGGGGCGCCTGGGTGGCTCAGTCAGTCAAGCGTCCAGCTCTTGATCTTGGCTCAGGTCATGCTCTCAGGTTCATGAGGTTGAACCCCACGTGTGGCTCTGCGCTGACATTGAGGAGCCTGCTTGGAATTCCCTCTCCCCCTCTCTCTGCCCCTTCCCCACTTGTGCGCGCACTCTCTCTTTCTCTCTCTCTCTCAAAATAAATAAATAAACTTTAAAAAATGGAGGACAAAAGTTTGTGGGCTTATATTTTTCCAATGCAGACATGATTTATTGGAGATGGCTATAAAAGTTTTTTTGCTGCCGGTAAACATTCAGACAATAGCAAAAACAGTACAGAAACATGGGGGCGCCTGGGTGGCTCAGTCGGTTGAGTGTCCGACTTCGGCTCAGGTCATGATCTTATGGTTCATGAGTTCAAGCCCCGCATCAGGCTTTGTGCTGACAGCTCAGAGCCTGGAGCCTGCTTCGGATTCTGTGTCTCCCTCTCTCTCTGCCCCTCCCCTGCTCCACTCTGTCTCTCTCTCAAAAATAAATAAAGAATTTTTAAAACTCTGGAAAGAAAGAAAGAAAGAAAGAAAGAAAGAAAGAAAGAAAGAAAGGGAAATATCCTTCATAATCACTGATTGGGCGGGAGAAATCTTGTCCTGCGTTTCCTGGCCCACAGCAACGTAATGCCTTAGGAACCAATGTGGCAGAGACCTGGGTGTGAACTCCATCCCACAGGGGGGCCTGGGCTCGGGCCAGTAGGGGCCTGTGAGCATTGGCTTCCCTAAGTCTGTGCTCTTCAGAGCCACATCCCACGGGAGGTAGGGAGCTCCCCACCAGGAGAGAAGTTTAACAAATGCCGGCCTGGGCCTCTCCCAGTGCCTGGAAGCACATGTTCCCAGACATCGGCCCTCATGCAACAGTCAAATTTCACCCAAATTTGGCTTCTCAATTTGATATTGCCAAATTTTAAAATCTGTGTCTTATGCCAAGTAAGGATTTTTTAAAATATTTATTCATTTATTTTAAGAGAGAGAGAGAATACAAGCGGGGGAGGGGCAGAGAGAGAGGGAGAGAAAGAATCCCAAGCAGGCTCTGCTCTACCAGCACAGAGCCCGATGTGGCCATCGATCCGATGAACCGTGAGAGCATGACCTGAGCCAAAATCGAGAGTCAGACGCCTAACTGACTGAGCCACCCAGGTACCCACAAGCAAGGACATTTAAAAAGAAAATCGGCAATCACACATTGTCACCACAATTTCATAAACTAATGGACATTCAAACAGCAAAAATAGGCAGGACTAACTCTCAGAAGAGAAAGTGTTACGAAAACCTCAGGGGCGCCTGGGTGGCTCAGTCGGTTAAGCGTCCGACTCTTGATCTCAGCTCAGGTCTTGATCTCAGGGTCATGAGTTCAAGCCCTGAGCTGGGCTCCGCACTGGGAACGAAGCCTACTTAAAAAAGAACAAAACGAAACGAAACACAACAACTCCGTGAACTGCCTCTGCTTGCTCTGTCTTGTAGGGGATGCAAGCTCTAGATGGAACGCCACAGTTTAGAGCCAGGCGGGGAGACGTGTGTCCCACTCTTTCCTTGGGCCTCAGGTCCCCCATTTGTCTAGCATTCTTTTTGCTTAACGTTTCTGAGTCCCTTCACCTACCCACCCCTATTATCTCTCTCTCCTTTTTTTTTTTTCTTCTCTTTTCGGTGACAAACTGCTTTGTCCCAGCGGCCACCTTCCAACACACCCCACCTAGCAGGTTGCTTGAAAGGGTCAGCACCTAGAAAGACCCATAGAGTGACGACTTGGCGGGGGCAGACGGTGAGAGGTTCACAGACCGGAGGGGGCAGGTGCAGGCAGCGCTGGAAGGGAGGGAGACGGAAGGCCGACCCCACGGGGGGGGGCGGGGCGGGGGGAGAGCCTCTGTGATGTTCCAGAAGGAGGTGTAAGGTGTAGAAGAGACCGTGAGAACATGTCCAGAGGTAGAGTCATTTTCTAGATGGTCCTTCCGAGAGTAGAAGTTATCATTATTATATGAATTATATGAATCCCGATCTCCCGAGTCTCACTCCAGGATTTAAGCTGCAGGAATGGATACTGGAGCTGATAGATTTTCAGACCCTGAGGCCGGAGGTGAGGAAGCACCCGAGGAGAGAGGGGTTTCCGGTCCCTCTCGGATCCTCCTGCGTGGGCGCCGTCACAGACGTGGGAAGCCTGCTGGGTGCAGCCGGCGGAGTGCCTCCCGACGGGGACATTTTTAAGCAGTTAGCTTTTCTCTGCTTCCCAACCCTCGGCCCCACCCCCACCCCTCCCAGCAAATGGATAACAGGAAACAGCCAAAGCTTCTTAACTTTTCTTTAATCTTCCCCTCTCCGGCAAACTGAAAAATCAAACGATAATTGTCTGGGTGATCTCATTATTGTCAACAAAATCCAAGCCTTGAAGCCAGAATCCACTGAAATGCTGACACATTAGACACAAAAGGAAACTGTGCTTGCATGTTGCTCGATAAATAAATAAGGCTGGCGGGAGCTCGGCGCGGGCCTGGCACCGGAGGGGCCCAGCCGTCGGCAGCACCGGGGCGGCGGGCGGCAGCAGGACCCCGGGACAGCCTGGGTCCGAGGGGTCGACGTCCTACCCCTTCGGTCTGTGTCAGTCCGGTCCCGGCAGGAAACAAATGCCACCTTCCAGAGGGATGGCGAGGGGGCTTCACGCGGGAAGGGGAGCGGAAGGGGCGGAGGCGCCCTGAGAGGGGGGAGCAGCCGCCGTGAGCGGTTAACCCCAATCAGTCCTGGAAGGAGGGGGATGCGGAACAGGTCCCAGACCCAGAAGGGACGACCTCCGGATAGGCTACGAGGGAGGGGCTGTGGCCTGGTGGGAGCAGAAGCAGGGAACGGACAGTTTGACTGCCCCCCCCCGCCCCCCGGGTGCCGCCTCCAAACACAGGCTAAAGCCAGTGGGAGACACAGATGGACAGATGGAGCTACCCGGAGGACAGAGCAGGGGGGGGGGGGGGGGGGGGGCTCCCACCCACTACGGGACACCGCCCTTGGTGTGCCACACCCAGAGATGGGGAGGCCGGGTGGGCTGCGAAACACTCCAAACTTCAGTTCCTGGCAAAGCCAAGTTTGGAGCGTGGGGAGCAAGCCCACACTTACTAGGGAGCGAGCTGTAGTTTAAGGTCAGGAGTGGGCGACCTGGAAGGCTCGTGCAGAGCTGGCCTGCTTCACTGGTCAACGCAGAAGGAACAAGGGTATCTCGCATTTGATCACCCTTTGATGCCTCCTGGTCTTGATTTTTCTGCCATCGTATCAGGATCCTAAAAAAAGAAAATGTCACAACAACAGATCGCAGATCACCCTTATGGAAAATGGGATACTTTAGGGGACTGAGGTGTGGTGGGGGCATCACCTCCCTGCCCCCTTCCTCTCTGGGATGCTGTAGGCTTTCGGGGACAGCCCAGGCCGGAGGAGAGGGTCTGCATCCCGCCATCACACAGGGCTTGGTGTTGACTTCGTGCCCTCTGACCCCCATTTTGCTCTGCATCAGGAGGTGGCTGTGGGGGGGGGGGGGGGGGGACAGGCATCTGAAGACCCGAGTTCTCACCTGCCTCTGCCACTCCCTAGTTGTGTGACCCTGAAGGGACCCTTCCCTGCTCTGGGCCCTCAGTTTCCCCATCTTACAAGGAAAGGACACTTTAATCGGATCTCAGCCAGCTTTAGGCCCCAACGTGGAGAAGAATGCCTTCCCTCACTCAGTGGAATCCTCCTTCCTCAACTCCCTTCTATCCAAAAAGGAGCCACTAACTGGCTGCTTCTACACTGAAAAGTCCCATCTTATTTTGTATTTGTGGAAAATTCCCGTGAGCACCTTGGATGGTTTGCAAAGAGCCCCTCATGGGTTTTCCCACTTGGCATCTTGCGAACAACTCCCTCTGTCCTGCCTGTTGGGTCAGAGCACGAGCAGGACTGAGGGAGGGCCAGGCATCACTGACCCACTCCGCAAGCCAGAGGCTTTCCCGATCCCCCCTCTCACCCCTTCTCCCCTGTGTCGTCGCTGCATATCTTTGGCAAAATGGTTCACCTCTCTGAGCCTCAGTTTCCTCACCTGTAAAACTGGGGTGCTAATAATAACATGACTGACAGTATGCGTAGCATTGGCTTGCTGCCTGGCTCATGGTCTGTCCTTCTCTCTGGGCACAGAGAGCTACCGAGTTACCAGCCTCATGCTCTGCCCTCCGGGGAGGCTTGGTGCAGTTGAATTTCATCTGCAAAGCCAGATGGTTCTGAAACTTGCCGTCCAGTCCCTACACAGGACTCCCACACTCCACTCCCGGTCTTCCTTCTCATACACCGGCAGGAAAAAGCCTCCCCAGGAGACTATGGAAATGAGGCTGAAAAGCCTTCTACAAAATGCAAAGGACAGCATGCTTCTAAGGAACTAAGAAAATATGTTTATCTTTTCATCTATCTATGCCTTGTCACCTTGAACAGGTTCTAAACTCTTTGAGGGTAGAAAATAAAGGCAGGAAACTTATGTTTATTGAACACTGGGAGACACTAAGTTCTCCCCAGTACCTGGTTCACTTTTCCTCCCCAAGCATACAGAACACTATATATCCCAACGTCCTTGCTGCTAGGTGAGGCCGTGTATGTAGTTCTGTCCAATTAATTGAGGGCAAAAGGGCTCTTCCCCATTCTTCAGCCAATCTCTTCCTCTGCCGCAGTGAACGTGGGGGCTTCTTGTTGAAATGGTGGAACCAGAATTTGACCTTCTGGATCATGGATCACACACATGGGGGAAAGCGGACCTGGGGAGCAGCCTAGGCCTACAGCCAATTTTATAAGAATGAAAAATAAACTTCTGTTGTGCTGGGGCTCCTGGGTGGCTCAGTCAGTTGAGCATCCAACTTTGGCTCAGGTCATGATCTCACGGTTCGTTGAGTTTGAGCCCCGCATTGGGCCATTGTCATTGCAGAGCCCGCTTCAGATCATCTGTCCCCCTCTGCTCTGTCCCTGCCCTGCTCATGTCCTCTCTTTCAAAAATGAATAAACATTAAAAAAAAGTTCTGTTGTGTTCAGCCCCTGAGCTTTGGGGGATGTTTGCTACTGTAGCATAACTTCACCTGGACTGACTGGTACAAACACTATTATGTGCAAATATGTTCATATATATTATTACCTCACTTAATTCTCAGCACTCTTATGGTAGATATTAGTATCATCATCATCATCATCATCATCATCATCATCATCACCATCATCTCTATTTTCCAGATGAGGAAACAAACAGACTCATACATGTTAGGTCATTGGCCAAAAATCAGTAAGAGGCAGACCAGGTTTGTCTCCCTCCTGAGCTCTGGGTCTTATAAGTAGGTTCCACCACCCAGAACCAGGAACCTGGGGAAGAAGGCATGTAAATGGCGAACTTGATATAGAAATGCCCCTGGCCAGTTTGGGGTCTTTGTTGAGTAAATCATAATCCTTCAAGTGTGGCCTTCAAGAGTCTGGGAAAAAATGTTCCCAGCTAAAAGTAGCTACAGCAGAGGGTCCCGGCCAAAGTCCAGCCAGAGGCTGGCAGGCTTCTCCGATGGCTTGGAATTCCTGCTGGCCAGGGCTCCACTGGCACGGAAGCATTTATGCTCGCCTCAAATTAGTTCTCCCACGCCTTCCAGGGCCCTAGCCCATATTTGGGATGGAAAAGGGAAAATGAATCCCAGTGGGGATTCAAAGGCATCAGAAAAATTCCACAGGGGCCACAGCATCTCCACGCGGGGACCAGGGCTCCAAGCAGTATCCTCTCTCGGGGCCTCCCACCTGGGCTGTGTGCACAGCAGGGCGGCGGGGCCGGCAAGCCCTCCAGCACTAGCTCAGAGGAAGGGCGCTCCTGGAAGGACCCTTACGAGGGCAAGCGCACTTCCACAGCCCAATTAAGTGCAGGAATCGAGAAAGAGGAAAGACCTAACTGCTGTTTCTTGTCTGTTAAAAGCGGGCCTTTCAGGGCGCCTGGGTGGCTCAGTCGGTTAAGCATCCAACTTCGGCTCAGGTCATGATTTCACGGTTTGTGGGTTCGAGCCCCGCGTCGGGCTCTGTGCTGACTGCCAGCTCAGAGCCTGGAGCCTGTTTCAGATTCTGTGTCTCCCTCTCTCTCTGACCCTCCTCTGCTCATGCTCTTTCTCTCTCTCTCAAAGATAAATAACAACATTTAAAAATTAAAAAAAAAAAAAAGCGGGCCTTTCTCCTTCGTGAAGAGGCTATGGGATTGGATTCCTTTGGCCGTGAGAAGCAGACACCTCAAATAAAAGTACCTTCGTGGAAAGAAAGATTCCCAGAAGACCACACAGCATGTACCCCCTTTATGATGCTCAAAAGCACGCAACACAAAGTAATGTGTTGGCTGGATGTACATTTTTATACAAAACCAGACACACAGAAGAATAGTAAATATAAAATTCAGGGCTACTCAACTGGGGGGCTCTGGGATGGAGTGATCAAGGGCTAGTTCGAGAGAAACACATATGGGGGAGGAACTACAATAGACAATATTCGAGTTCTTGAGTTTTGAGTTGAGTGACAGTTTCACAGGTGCTCGTTATATGAACAAATATGCGAGTGGCATGTCACAAACCAAGGCTTGTGATCAATCCAATTCTGCCTACCTGTTAACTTAGAGCTATCTTTAAAGGGGCCCTAAATAGCTATCAACAGCACTTATATACCATTTCCTGAGTGTGAGATACTGTAACAACCGCTTCACACATGCAAACCCATTTACACCTCACAGCAGCCACCTTACAAGGTGGATCTTATTTTACGCCCACTTTACAGGCGAGGAAAGTGAGGCAAGAGAGGTTAAGCATCTTGCCTGGGTCACACCCCTAATGTGTGGTAGGTAGGCTTCAGAGGCCTCGCTCTTGTTTGCTGCCTATAAGGATGTCCTATAAAGACATCCAATAAGGATGTCGAAACCTCAGATAACTACAAGCCCAGAGCGGAGCCGTTTTTGTAGGGTGGGTCAGTTGCGTGGCTCGGTGACTTCATCAACGATGCCGCCGTCACCATACCCACCACGTCGCCCCAGTCACAGGGCCACAACATACTTGCATTTTCAGGCAATCATGTGCACTTTGGCAAAAAGAGAAGTCTCCTCTGGTGTGCTGCGTTTCATTGGCGAGGAAATCCGTTTCCAAATCTAACTTTTGAGACTTCCCTTCAGGGTTCTGACCAAGCCGAGTCCATGCCCAGACTCAAACCGATCATGGGCCACACTAACCAGGTTAGAGCACTCACCGTTCACCTCCTGAGACACAAGGGTAGGGGGAACGTCTGATGGGGGAGGGCAGTCAAAAGCGTTTGCCTCCACCTCTGCTTGCGTTCCCCCCAAGAGCTCTGTGAGGAAAGGGGGAATGTGTGCACTGTGAGCTCCAAGGACAGAATCCATGTCTGTCGTCCTGAGCTGCCTGTCCCCTGCCCAGGCACAGCCCATTAAATAGCAGACACCTAGGTGTACCAGATGCGTCAGCCCTGGAGACTGGCCCCACTCACGGTCCCCTGCTGAGGGAAGAGGGGACACCCCGTCCCTGGAGCACAGGTAGCTGACCCCCATCTCACCCTGTCTCTGACCAGGGACACCTGGTCGAGGGTTGACCACCTGACCTAAGGGAAGCCATATCATGGACTAGCAAATGGCCTGTGGTACATCTCCACACTAAGATCTCCCGGAAAGAGGGTTTCATGGGTGTCTGAACCCAGATCCCCCAGAGAGCAGAGCCTGGGTTAAAGCTTACTTGCTAAAGTGTGACTGTAGATACGCTCCTAGGGAAGCAAGAATAAGCGGAAAGGGGACCGTGAGGCCGGAAGAGGGGTGAGTGGATCCCCCTTCTGAAGCGGAGAACTTACTCTCCCGGCTCTGGGAGTGCTGGGGGCAGGTCGCCCCCAACTGCCCGCCCTCTTTGGCACTGCTCTCCTGACGTCACCTGCCCCCTGGCTCCAGCCCCTTTCTGAAGCACCCCCATGGCTGGCTGATCGGCACCGGGGCATAGAGGCCCTCTCCCTCCCTCACCCTGACTCAGGACAACTCTGAAGACCCCCACCAGCCTCAGGACCCCCACCGAGACTGCATCACCACCCGCTTCTCCCTCTGCCCGGCGCCGAGTCCAAGCTGGCGGTCCACGGGCAGGGACCCCGAGAGCACGTCCGCTAAACTTCTGCTAAACGGAAGCCAGAGGGGCTGAAGGAAAGGAAAATTCAAATGTGAGCGTGACCTAGCTTGTCCTGGCTTCCCAAAAAACCCAGTGGGGTGACATCTCCACGGAGGACACACGGAAGCACAGCATCTCAGAAGAGTCTGCGTCAGCGAGGGCCGCACGAAGCTTCCGCCTCCGTGGGCACCGCTGGAGCCGCCCCTCCCGCACCTGGGCAGGTACAGCGGAGGCCACGCCAGAGCCCGAGCTTTGCCCCCGGGGGAAAGCGGAGTCACCTGGCGGTGCTAAGAGATGTGATGACAGGGATGTGGCCGGGGCCTTCCACGCACCAGGGCAGCTGGGGCCACTCCGCCCGGGGACGGAGCAAGGGACCGAGGGCCAAGGGCAGATGGGGCCGTATGGACCTGATGGTGGCCTAGGACACTGAGCCAATCTGAGTCCCCCCTCCGGACTGGGAGGCATGAGGGCCACATCGGTGAAGAGCAGGAGCGGCCGCTGAGAGGCTGTGAGAGACAAGGAGCCACAGGGCCCTGGAGAGCAGAGGCCTTGAGTCGCTGGAAGTCGGTGGGGAGTGAGTCACTGGAAGTCGGTGGAGAGAAACCCAGCAGAGCGAGGTAAGGGTGCCGCACTCCCGGCAGCAGGAGAGTCACCTTCAGGGTATTTCCTCTGAGCTCCATGCTGAGGGGACAGACAGACAGCCCCATTGGACAGCCACCTGGTGCCCTGAATGCCCTTCCAGTCCCAGGGACCGTTCCCAGCCTTAGCGTGTCAAGATGTTTTATTGAGACAACTTGAGGGGCTCAATCTCTTGTGGCTAGAGCAGCCTCATGCAGGAAGCAGGGGGTCCTGAGTCTCCCCTCCTCCCCACCTGCTTCTAGATAAGTCGAGTGAGAGCCAGGCTCCAGATTGAAGTTGGAGGGTTGGGGAAAGAGACTCACTCTGGAGTGTGGGTGCGAAGTTCTTCCTCCCAAGTGCTGCTTCGTGGATCATGGCGGCCCCTGAGGCGGCCCTGGGGCAACTGGGGTTGGGTAGGAGACGAGGCAGTTGGAAAGCCAGGGAGGAAGCCTCCACCACTGCGGCCACGATGAAGAGAGCACCAGAGACACCAGACTGTACAAGAGTCGCCCCTGCTCCACGGGGAAGATGTTCCAAGACCCCCAGGGGATGCCTGGAACCCCATGTATTCCGGTTTTTCCTACACGAACATACCTGCCATAAAGTTTAATTTAGAAATTCGGCACAGTAGGAGATTAACAACCAAAACTAATGGTCAAACAGAACAATTAGAACAGTTTACTGTAATAAAAGTTATGTGAATGTGCTCTCTCTCTCTCAAAATATCTACTGTGCTGGGTTCTCACCCTTCGTGATGATATGAGATGATAAAATGCCTACTGATGAGAAGCAGTGAGGTGACTGACGTAGGCATCGTGAGCTAGTGTTAGGCTACTATTCACCTTCCTATGACATGTAAGGAGGATCCCCGGCTTCCAGAACGTGGTTGACTGCGGGTAACGATACCACAGAAAGCAAAGGGGTGGGGGGATTGGAGGACGTGTTTCAGCCTTGAGCCTTTTCATCTGCATTCCGTCTTCCATCAAAAATTACCCCTCCTAACCCTTGTGCACAGTGGGTGGGAATGTAAATCGGTGCAGCCACTGTGGAAAACAGTATGGAGGCTCCTCAAGCAATAAAAAGTAGAACTACCCTATAATCCAGCAATCCCACTTCTGGGTATATACCCAAGGGAAATGAAATCACTATCTTGAAGAGATATCTGCACTCCCATGTTCACTGATGCGTGATTCACTGTAGCCAAGACATGGAAACAACCCAAGTGTCAGTCGATGGACGAATGGACAAAGAAAACATGAATGTTAATGAGAAGGCATAAACTTTTGCTTGTAAGATGAGTAAGTTCTGAGGATCTGATGTATAGCTTGGTGGTTCTAGTTGATCAAACTGTGTAATATACTTGAAATTTGCTAAGAAAGTAGATCTTAACCATTCTCATACACACACACGTAACCATGTGAGGTGATGGGTGTCTTAATTAACCTGATGGTGAGGATCCTTTCAAAGTTCACACGTATCAAATCATCATTTTGTACACTGTAAATATCTTACATTTTTTGTCAATTATACCTCAGTAAAGCTGGAAAAAAATTACCCTTCCTTAGCACCTGTCCTTCAGGGCCCTCATAGGAGATTAAAACAAGCTAGAAATAAATAATCCAATTTATTTCTTTAAGACAATCTGCTTTGGGGGCACCTGGGTGGCTCTCAGCTGGCTGAATATCTGACTTCGGTGCAGGTCACCATGTCTCGGTTCATGGGTTCGAGCCCCACGTCGGGCTCTGTGCTGACAGCTCAGAGCCTGGAGCCTGCTTCAGATTCTGTGCCTCCCTCTCTCTCTCTCTCTGCCCCTCCCCCACTCACTCTCTGTCTCTCTCTGTCTCTCAAAAATGAATGAACATTAAAAAATTTTTCAAACAATCCACTTTAAAAATGACTAAAGGGCTCGAGTAGACATTTTTCCAAAGAAGGATGTACAAATAGCCAATAAGCACACAAAGTGATGCTCAACATCACTAATGATTAGGGAAATGCAAATCAAGACCATGACGACACACCACTTAATATTATTAGGATGGCTGTTATCCAAAACATAAAAACACAAAAACAAAACAAGTATGGTGGTGATGTGGCAAAATCGGAGCCCCTACGCATTGCTGTTGGCAATGGAAAAACAGGGCAGCTGCTTTTCAAGATGGTGTGAAAATCCCTCAGAAATTAAACATAGAATGACCATATGATCCAACAATTCTACTTCTGGGCATATTCCCAAGAGAAGTGAACACAGAGACTCAAACAGACGCTTGGACCCCTGTGTTCATAGCAGCAATGTTTACCATAGCAAAATGCGGAAGTGACCTAAGTGTCCTTCGGCAGACAAATGGCTAAACAAAACGGGGGATATATGCACGATGGAATATTAGTCAGCCTTAAAAAAGAAATCCTGACACCTGCTATAACCTGGGGGAATCTCGAAGACACACACACTATGTTAAGTAAAATTCGTGAGTCACAAAAGGAGAAGTACTCTGGGCTTCTACTCATATGAGGTACTTAGAGTGCTCAGACTCCTAGAGACAGAAAGAATGGTGGTTTCAGGGCGATGAGGAGGGAAGGTGAGAATGGAGAGCCAGTGTTGCATGGGGACAGAGTCTCAGTTAGGAAAGATGAAAACGTTCTGGAGCTGGATGGTGGGGGCACAATCACATGAGTGTACTGAAGACCACAGAACCATACACTTAAAATGGTTGTCATGGGGGGCGCCTGAGGGGCTCAGTCGGCTGAGAGTCCGACTTCGGCCTAGATCATGCTGTTACGGTTCATGAGTTCTAGCCCCGTGTCAGGCTCTGTGCTGACACCTCAGAGCCTGGAGCCTGCTTCGGATTCTGTGTCTCCCTCTCTCTCTCTGCCCTTCTCCCACTGATGCTCTGTCTCTCTCTCAAAAATAAATAAACATTTAAAAAAGAGTTTTCAATGGTTGTCATGGTACATTTTATGTTATGTGTCTTTTACCATACACACCAAGAAAGGAGACTATTTGCTCAAGGGTGAGAGCTTGAAGGAATCCAGGAGACCACTGTGCCCTCATTCATTGCAGAGGTGAGGTTTAGCAGAGAAAGGAGCTTGTTTCGGGAACAGCTGTGACAGCAGAAGCAAGAGGAGAACTTAGGTGTCCTGGAACTCAGGCTGTCAGCCCTGGCCCTTCAATGCAAGCTTCTGAACTCCGGGACCAGCATCCCGATGCATGTCTCTGCACAAGGCCCCACCCTTCCCTTCCATGTGTCTGGAGATCCACCGCCTGGCCCAGCTCCCCATGAAGAACAGGACAGGCACAGTAGACTCACAGCTCCAGGGGGTAGGCAGGGCTGCGAGACACAGCCCAAGCTTTATCAGAATGTTCCTTAACGTGAAAACCTTTGGAAATTCCCATGTTGCAACTGTGACCACAAATCCCTCATGGCACCCTGGTGGCAAGTTTTGTGGATTTCATGCCTTTCTCAGCAAATCTGTTCTGACTCTCGGCTTCTCTGTCCAGCCAAAGCCCTGCAAGATTGCCAACTTTCAGAGCCTGACTCAGAGCATCCCTCTGACATGGGATGGCAAAAAGTTGGCACGTGGACCCCTCCCACCCCTCCAGTGCCCATGGTAGGCATCACTAATCAATCAAGAGTCTGTTCCCCACAGAGCAAGATAAAGGCCCCAGAGCCACATCGTCATAGCCTCCGGCTGTCTGATCACTCAGCAGTGGCACCTGAGGTAAGATCTAGTTGCCAGCCATCATCGATGCCTATCGAACACACTCTCGGCTTTTGGGAAGATCCCTTCTATCTTGACCTCAATTTCTTCACCTGTAATGTGAAATGATTTTTATGTCCCTGCCAGTTCTGCCATCCAATGAATTCTCTGATGATGGACCAGACAATTCTATATTGTAGATAGCAGAGAGAAATTCCATAGGTTTCCAAAGAAATTCTACGGTATTTTAATTTGGGGGGGAGGGCAGTAGAGCTGCCCTCCCCATTTTATTTGCATCAGGGTAGGTCGTTACGCCTGCCATTGGGACCCGATTGCGCTCCTGGCCAGCGAGGTCGCCAGTGCTTTCTGGGAGCCATTGCCCACTTCCTGGAAGGCCTCAGAGCCAAGATAGTTCCTAACACTTCTCTTCGAAAACTTCCCAGAAGGAGAGAGTTAGGACGAACATTTCTGCCCCTCACATCGCCTCCTACACGGCACCCGACTTGTCTTCTGTCCCGGGAGGGCAGCTATGTCCCTGCGATGGCATGTAGATAGTGTTTCTCATTTGCCTGCCTGCCGGGCGGCCCTCTCCACCCAGGCCCTGGCCAGCCAGACAGGATCAGAGGGAGGGGAGGGGAGCATCAGAGGGTGGGGAGAGGACAGGGCCGCCACTTGCCACCACGCACTATAAAAGAGAGAGTATTAAATCTTGGCCCCCATCAGAGGACTGCCTTAATTAGGGTGGCGCCGAGCAGGACGCTGTAATTAACTGTGTGTCTGCGTTTCCATCTGAAACATCCATTTTCAGAGCTTTGTGACCCAGTCTTCCAAGAGAGGCTCAGCCAGAAACTCGGCACCGGCGGCCTCAGAGGGGAGGCCGCTTTCCCCTGCCCCTTCCCATCGTAGCCCCCCTCGGGGTGAGTCTCCGGAAGTGGGAGCCCAAGGTCCTTCTGACAAGGGTGTTAATTATGCGCTCAGAGCCACTGGCTCCCAAAGCCAGGGAACCCCAAAGGGGTGGGGTCAGCACAGGTGGACGTCTGTTCGTTTCACTTGGACGACAACCATTATTCCAGCAACTTTTGATTTTCTTTGAGGCCACAGCCCTAGGGATGGGCCGCCTGTAGCTCTAGGCCCATGATCTAGGCTGGCCAATCAGAGTGTACACCCTGGCCACAGTGATTGGTTCAGAATTGGTCATGTGACCGGTGCGGAGCCAATAAGTGTCTGCAGCAGGACTCCGGCTGGAATAATTGGGGACCTGGGTGTTTGGTGCCGGGGAGCACGTTTGCTCCCTCGGTGGGAGAGCCTGCCTGAAAAGAAGGCCAAATTGGAAAAGGTATTTTTAAAAGGTGGAGGGTGACAGAGAGAAAGAGACCGAGAGAACTGATGACATCCTTTTAAACAACTGAATTCATACCTGAAGCAAAATACTCGGCCGACTTTTAATTATGTGAGAGACAATGCATTCCCCATTTTTGCTTATGGCGATTTGAACAGAATGTCACTTGCAAGGTAAAGAGGTCTGGTTAAAACAGAGGTCATTACATGGGCTCCATGAAAGGCAGTCAACACACACATACTGTACATTCGTGGTATGCCAGGCAGCGTGGAGAATACACCAGGAGTCGGGCGCGGGCACCCAACCTTTGGGAGCTTCTGGGCTCACGGGGAGGAGGAGACATTGGGGTAAACCGGGCTCGCTGTTCCAGTGCCCCCGCCCGTCTTCCTTCTGCGTAACTTGAAGCATCGCCTGGAGAGGAGAGTGTCCTCTCTTTACTTGACAGCGGCTCTTGTGCCTACCCAGAAAGGAGCCCCTCTTCATCTGACTACAGTTCCTTGTGCCCGAGTGACTTGTGTGAAGTCACTTGTGTGAACCAGCCCCTGGTTCCGAGAATGGC